AACCGATTGCTGTTCGAGCGAAGGCCTATCTGCGACGCGAATCCCTAGGGTTGTAGCTACTGAGAGCACCCTGAAATCGCCAACTATTGAACCTACAATAGGCCGCTGTTCAACCTCGTCTGCTACTTGTTCATTACCCACAGAGTTCGCCATATGCGTTAGGTTAGTAACCGGGATGATTAAATGATTACCAATAGCATTCGCTGGTGGTAAGTCCGCCGGTCTTGTATTGCGGGTGAATGTGCCAAGCGGCAAGAGCTCAACCTTGCGATCGTTGAGTCGTTGTCCCGAGGCTGCGTGGAAAACATCCATGACAGCTTTGAAGCGGGGAATGTCCGCTAGGCGACGTAAAAAGGCACCACAATCATCCGCATACTGTGACGCAGCGAGGTGAATGTCACGCAAACTTATGCCGATTTGTTGATATTGAAGCCAAGTTAGTAATGCTTGTGCTGGCGCAAGGTATAGGATGGGGGCAAGCGGACAGCCTTGCCTGACGCCAGCCGCTATAAGAACCCAGTACGAAAGGTAACCATTGACAATCGCCGCTGATTGCGTACTAGTATGGACGTCGAACCCAAGCAATAAAGCCCACACCTACACCCAATTCATCCAGACACGCGAACAGAAAGTCTCTATCTAGGGTATCGTAGGCTTTGTAGAAGTCAAGGAAAGCTGCCACACAAGTACGGCGCTCCATACGGAGAAGCGCGGGCAGCATATATATATGCCGCAGCAACGGCGACCCAACCACCCGCCGGTCCACCACTGGCTACGCTTTCTTGCTCGGTGGCGCGGCGGTCAGCTGGAGCAGTCAGTTGCAGCGCACCGTAGCTGCCTCCTCCGTGGAAGCCGAATACCAGGCCGCAGCAGCAGCCGTGCGCGAGGCGTTGTGGCTGCGCAAGCTGGCGAGCGATCTGGACCTTTCCCCGGGTGCTGTCAACGTCCAGCTGGATTCGCAAGGCGCGCTCAGCCTCGGCAACAACCCCATCACGTCGGTGCGCTCCAAGCACATCGACGTGCACCATCACATCGTGCGCGAGAGGGTCGCGCGTGGTGAGGTGAAGCTCAGCTATTGCACCACCGACGACATGGTGGCTGACATCCTAACCAAGGCACTGGGCGAGGTCAAGTTCGTGCGCTGCCGCACAGCGCTGGGCGTCACTTAGATCGCCAGAGGAGGAGTGCTGAGGGCTTTGAGGAATTGTTTTGAGCTAGGCTTTAGGGGGGTGCTAAGGGTGCGTGAGCAGGCGCCCGAATGGGCAGGTCAATGCCCGAAGGGGCGCCGTAGGCAGTGCGTATGGTGCTGTACGGCACTGTTTTCCCTGTTTGTGTTTGAACAGCAGCACCAGACCGCATAGCCATCAGGCTGAAGGCTGGCAAGCTGCGTTTGTGTTTGTTGAGTGGTGAGCAGTCGGCCTGGACCGCGGACTTGGTGGCCGAGCTAGCTCGTCGGTGCTAACAATTTGTAGTAAGGCCCCTAGTGCGACACGAGGGGGCGTGTTGATGCGAAGGGTTGCCGTGTCGCCCTGTGGCCTGCTTGGGTAACTTGTCAGGCTGTCGTGAGTAACAGCTGTGGCCGGTCTGAGGTCGCATGTTAGACTGAGTAACAGCTTTGGACCAACAGCTTTGGACCTGTCTCGGGAGGCCCGTCATAATGGCTATTAGGTTCTAGCGTACTGATAGCTCTCGTCCTTTGGGATAGGCTTTCCAAGCCTTTATAAGTCTCTGTTGTTTATCGGTAACAGTACCTCAGATTCACACGTTTACGCCTAGGCAAAGGGGCTTTCGGTGGTAGGTCGCGGATCTCCCGAATACGTGTAACGGCTAATGTCTCCTTAGTCGTGTCTGCTAGGTCCCTGTGAGATAGCGTCTCACCAACAGGTTATGAGCCCCGTGAGACCCACGTACGCCGACCGCCGCCACTGTCAATGACGGTGCCGCCACCGCTGCTACTGCTGTTGCTGTTGCCCCCATTACCAATACCTCCGCCATTCGCCGCAGCTGCAGCTGCCGCCGCCACCGCTGCCGTGTGCGCTGTCGCCAAGGGGGTACAGGGCACATGCAGCAGCGGTCGTGGCGTTGATCCCCCCCCGGCATCGCTTGGGCGAGCCGGCAGGAACGTAACTGTGCAACAGTGAGCGGTCAACTGTAAGGTGGTAAGGTGAACCAGAGTCTAGGACTACTGCTGAACTGTTGCCACTGCCACCGACGACCAGCACCGTGGCACGGTTCTGGCGTGAGCTTACACCGCCGCCGCCGCCGCCACTGCTTCCGCCAGCAGTGTCGCTGCCGCTGCGGCGGCCGTTGCCGCGTCTAAAACGGCCGCGTTCTCGCGTCCTGTCGCCCCCGCTGTTATTGCCGCCGCTGGTGCCTCCGCCGCCGCCATCACGATGGCGGTTGCCGCTGCCACTGCTGCCGGCGCCAGTACTGCATGGCTGTTCGCCCCAACCGCCCGCGGGCTGTCTCGCGCGTAGGCCTGCCGCACGGCGGTTCGTCTATCACCGCGTGGAGCGAGCGTGGGCATTACGTCATGGACGTGGACCTGCTGGCGCCGACCAAACGCGCCATCAGTGCGCTCGGCGCTGCGGAAGACAGAGCCGGCGGAGGTACCAGCGCTAGCAGATTTGCCGCCGGCGCCAGCAGCAGTGACGCCGGCGGGGACCAGCCGAATGGTGCCGGCAGCAGTGACACCGGCGGAGACCAGTCGAACGGCGCCAGCAACGGCCAAGGGCAGCTGGGCGCCCTTGAGTGCTCAGCCGCCGAACTCGCAGCAGCACAGCGCCTGCACCGCCAGTTCGGCCACCTTGGTTACCGGGCGTTGGAGCAGCTTATCACCAAGCAGCTGGTACATGGACCACGGGTCACTCCCGCGGCGCTGCATCAGGCAGCAGAGGGTGTCTGCGAAGCCTGTGTCACAGCGAAGACTACAGCTACAGCTCACGTCAGCCGCGGTAACCGGCCTCAGCATGTCCTGGAGGTCGTACACTCTGACCTGTGCGGGCCCATGCCGACCACGGGCCGAGGAGGGGCTCGCTACTTGCTAACGCTGCTGGACGGTGCCTCCGGTCTGTCTGCCGTTCGCACACTGGTTAGCAAGAACCAAGTGGGCGAAGCGCTGCAGGACATGGTGACGCAGCTGGAGGCTCGCAACCCGAATGGTGCACGGGTCCGCACCCTTCATAGTGATAACGGTGGCGAGTTTGTCGCCGAGCAGCTGGCACAGTGGCTATGCCAGCGCGGCACTGCGCATACCCACTCGGCGCCGTACACTCCGGAGCAGAACGGTGCAGCGGAGCGGCTCAATCGCACGCTCCTCGACCGTGTGTGGGCTATGCTGTACGATGCCGCGCTCCCCGACAGCTTTTGGTCGGAAGCTGTGCTATATGCCAACCTCCTGCGCAATGTTTCCCCCTCTCAGGGCCGGGAGGCTACACCGTGGGCAACTTATCATGGCGTCACCCCCGACGTCAGTCACCTGCACACCTTCGGCTGCCTGGCATACGTCCGCGTCCCAACCAGCCAGCAGGTTAAGCTCGGTCCCCGCGCAGAGGCGGGAACCTACCTAGGACCAGAGCGCGGCACGGCCGCCCACCGCGTCCTCGTCGACGGTAAGGTGACTGTTAGCAGCGACGTCACCTTCGACGACGACCTCCGCGGCCTGGCGTCTCAACGGGCGGGCACCTCCTACGGCGCTGGCCCCGCCCGTCCTGGCAGCGGCGACCCCGTCGGCGGCTCTACACAGCCCGCCACACCGCCGCCTCCAGTGGTTGCATCGCCCCCAGTGAACCCAGCACCCCCCCCCCGCCCCAACACACGCAGCCAACGGCAACCTCTTCACCCGCCGCTGGCCACGGTCTGCCCAGCCAACAACAGCAGCGGCGGCGGCGGAGATTTGGGCAGTCCACCGCTGCTTAACAAAGCGTCGGGAAGCACAAATTATGCTGAGGCAGGCGACGGCAATGCGGGCGGCGGAGGCAACAGCGCGGTGCAGGAGCCGCGCAGTTATGAGGAAGCGGTGGCGAGTCCGCAAGCGGACAAGTGGAGAACTTCGATGGATGACGAGATTCTGTCGCAGCTCTCCAACAAGACCTGGGAGTTGGGCACGCCGCCACCCGGTGCACGCATCCTGGACTGCCGCTGGGTCTACAAAATCAAACAGGAGCCAGGCGGTGAGGTA